TAGCAGGATATTATCGACGGTTTATAAAGGACTATGCCTAGATTGCAAAACCTCTAACGAAGTACCTAAGGGGGGGAAATGGAAATATAGGCGCTAATCATTCAAAGAAAATTCAAATTACTGTTGATGAAGAAGCACTTAGCGCATTTAATGAGATTAAAAAATCCTTGCATCAGAAGACGTATTGCTTCTTTATCCTGACTACAAACAAACATTTGATCTGACTACAGATGCCTCTTCTTATGCCATAGGCGCCGTTCTGTCACAGAATGGAAGACCTATCACGATGATTTCCAGGACCCTCTCCTCAACCGAAGAAAACTACGCTACCAACGAGAGAGAACTGCTGGCAATAGTATGGGCTCTATAAAAGCTTCGCAACTACCATCAACCACTCAAATTCGCTTTACAAGCCTGCTAAGGAAAATTTCGTCCCGGACGCCCTCTCCCGACAACATATAAATGCATTAGACCATGACATGGACTCGGCAAGCATGGCTGCGAATAGCGAAGAGTCGCTGTCTCAAGAAATTCGCACTGTAAAGAACCCTATAAATTGTTTTCGGAATCAAATAGTCCTTGAAGAAGGAAATCACAATAGACAAGTTCTCAAAGTTTGCAATAGTATTTCCAATCAAATCTAGAGGCATAGTTGATGTTAAAGAATCCATATACGAACTTCTCAATTTTTACAGAAATACTAAGGTGTTGGTCTGTGACAATGAGAGATCGTTGGATTCGGAAACCATTAAATCAATACTTAAAAATCACTTTGGCGTCGAAATCTACACCACCCCACCCGCCTATAGTACGACTAGCGGACAAGTGGAAAGATTGTACAGTACCCTTACGGAAATTGCTCGCTGTCAGAAGCTTGAGACTGGTATATCTGACACAATTGAGCTAATTTTGCTAGCCACAGCTAAGTACAACCGCACAAATCATTCAGTAACGAATAAAAAGCCAATAGACGTAATACATTCAACACCGGACGAATTAATAAGGGAAATAAAAACTAGACTTACACGTATTCAGCAGAAAGATTTACAAAGACATAATGAAAACAAACAAACACAACAGCATAATCCAGGGGATAAAGTTTATATGAAGACTAATAAAAGAATAGGAAACAATTTTTCAAAATTTTACACCGAAAAAGTAATCCAAAAGGATCTTGGTACATTTGTTATAATTGATGAACGAAAAGTGCACAAAAATAATTTAGGACACTGACCGCTCTCTCCTTTGTCGCCCTTAGGATCATTTAAGCTTTCGAGCCAACGCAGGAATACTCGATTATACCAACTCTTACTACATCTCAATTACATCCGGAGCTGTAGCTGTTTATGAGCAGCATGGCTTTTTACTTCAGCAAACTAATTTTTCAGCATTCGAAGCAATAGCTGAGGAGACAGACAAACTACTGATCCAATTCCCACAATCACATATTAAACGACTACTGGAGAATGACGCTAATGAAATATTAAAACTATTGGACGCGATAAGAATACACCATCGGTACGCTAGAAGTATTAACATTTTGGGGACTGCCTTGAAATATATAACAGGGAGAGAACCAATGCCCTATTAGACACAAACGAACAACAAATAGCGGTAAATTCAGCTACACAAAAGAAAATAGACGAATTGACAGTGACAGTAAATAAATTATTACAAAATGCAGAAAACACTCAAATAGATACGGGATATTTCTTTTCTTTAGCCTCCACCAGAAATAGAGCAGTTACAGTGGCGTAGCCAGGATTTGGCTTTGGGGGGGATGAAAAAAAATGTCCATCGATAACTTAAATTTGTGACACACAATGGCTAGAGGCGTCGCCTNAATGTAAAGTTGCTCCCACTGATCCATGACCGAAAAATTATCGCTCTAGAAACAGACATTATTGCTGAATGTAATGGTAAATACATTCCACTCTGAAACTGCAAGGAGGCTGTAGCGGCAAACTATTGTCAGCCTCTGAAGGAAAGCCCCTGTACGCTACAACTACTTAACCAACACTCTGCAAAATGTAAGTCAAAATCTGCCGATAATGTTCCCGCTATTGAGGAAGTTGATAATGGCATACTGGTAATCAATGATCTATACAAACCCAGAACTTGACGAAACTAACGAAGGGAACTTTCCTTGTAACATTTTATAGAGAGATTACGGTAAACACTACGACTTACGTCAACTGGGCTAAAATTATTCGATCGCATCCGGAAGCTGCACCGGTAAACACGTATCCGGTCAACATTCCACTTCCACCGATATTGCTGACGGTGCGTCGGCAAGCTTGAGTGTGGAAATAGCGTAGCAACAACTCTCCCACCTGCGTCAACCAGGTAGCGCGTGACAACAACAACATCGCTGCAGCGGAAAAGCCAACAGCAAGAGGTAAAATTACCGAATTGAATTTTGCAAGTCACACGGTAAAACATGTGCAGAAACTGGTAGGTGGTAAGAAAGCATCAGGTATTAGGCGTAGTCGCCGCAATATTCTAGTTAGCAAATTCAGTTGTAATAACTCGACCGATACAAACGGCTGCTCTTGTGCAAACAAGAGAAATAAAATAACATTAAAACCCAACCAAGTGTTTTAATAAGTTATACCCATATTTCTTCTCCAAGCACATTTCACTGAATTTGTTAAATCATTTTTGAATTTATGACGTCAGAGTGAAAAACTAAAATCGCAATTTTACTATATTTGGTTCAGAGTTTCGCGAATACATTGATATTTGTGTTTAAAATTTACTATTATTAAATAAATAAAGAAATATAGCCAATACTGGTCAAGAAAAGGAGTTTCTATTATTGCCATCAGTGCAAGTTACAAATCCCGAAAATCCCGGGATTACTTACCAAGAATCCCGAGATTTTCGAGACCTTAGAAAGCCCGGGATCCCGGAATCCCGGGATTAACATTCCTAATATGTATGTATATCTCGTTAACCGATTAATAAATATCTACCAAACTCGCTAGAGTTATTGCCATTGGTATAGAATTGAAGTATGATTCAGATTCGCAGCAGAACGATTTCAGCTGAACTTGGTAGCTATACATTAACAAGAAACGTTAGTAGGGGCACTCCTCAAAGGGGAGTGATCTTTCCTATTTTATGGCTCAGCACTATCAACTCAGTACTACTCAAGCTCAACCAGGGAGGAGTAAAGGTAGTGGCCTACGCTGACGATGTACTGATTTTAATAACCGGGTTATTTCCATCTGTGGTGAGTAACATCATGGAGGTTACTCTAGCAAAGCTTAGCCGGTGGGCCGAGCAATGTGGCCTTAGAGTGAACCCAGAGAAAACAGAATTAATGCTCTTTACGACAAGAAATAAGGTCCCAAGCTTTGAATTACCAAAGCTAAATGGACAAAGGCTGCGATTATCTAAACAAGCGAAGTATCTGGGAGTCATACTGGATCTTAAGCTAAGTTGGAAAATAAATATTGAAGAGAGAGTAAAGAAAGCGAGCATTGCCTACTACTCCTGTAAGCGGCTTTTTGGGAAGATATGGGGTCTCAATCCAAAAGTTGTACTCTGGATGTACACAGCGGTTCTACGTCCGATCTTATGCTACGGTTCTTTGGTATGGTGGACAGCCTCCAATATAATCAAGTGAAACTAGGCAGAGTTCAGAGAGCTGCATGCATCGGGACCACAGGGGCAATGAGAACTTGCCCTACCGATGCCCTAAATGTTATTACAAACCTATTTCCTATAGACCTTCACATACGGCACACCGCATCACTATCGGCTATAAGACTTAGAAAACTAGGTATATGGAAAGAAAGAACGATCGGGCATAGCAGTATAATTTCCCGTTTGCCAGCTAAGTTGAGGCTGGCAACCGATTACATTCGACCTGAGGTAGAGTTTCACAGGCCTTTCGGGGCCATTCTTCCGTCGAGAATACCTTCATCTTCATCTTCGACTCCATCTTCATCTTCATCTTCATCTTCATCTTCATCTTCATCTTCATCTTCATCTTCATCTTCATCTTCATCTTCATCTTCATCTTCATCTTCATCATTGTCTTTATCCTTGTCTTTTTATTTATCTTTAACTTTGTCCTGTTCTTAATCTTTATCATTGGCTTGATCCTTCAATATAGGTTGTGTGTGTCTGTGGTTTTGTCGTTGCCCTTGTTTTTGTTTCTGCGCTTGTATCTTTCTCTGTGTATTTTCATTACCCACTCCACAGTGGCGTTAAAAGTTCAATGCAGCCGCCCCTATCTATTCACGGATACGCATTCGCATACATAGGCAAAAATTAAGTTTTATTTTCTGAGCAAAAAATAAAACTCATGACATAACGATTATTTTCCGAGCAAAAAATAAAACTTAAAGCGTAGCCAATATTTTCCGGGCAAAAAATAAAACTTAAAACGAAACCATTATTTTCCGAGCAAAAAATAAAACTTAAAACGTAACGATTATTTTCCGAGCAAAAAATAAAACTTAAAACATAACCATTATTTTACGAGCAAAAAGTAAAACTTAAAACGTGACGATTATTTTCGGAGCAAAAATCTAAACTTTAAACGTAACGCTTATTTTCCGAGCAAAAAATTAAACTTAAAACGTAACGATTATTTTCAGAGCAAAAAATAAAACTCCAAAAATAATCATTATGTTTTGAGCAAAAAATAAAACTCAGTTAATAACAATTAAAAAGGGATTTTTATAATAAAAGTTATAACCGTTACGGTCCCAGCTTTAGTTAAATTAAAAGAACTTAGAAATCTGATAAATACTTTGAATTTATTGAATTTACTATTTTTTATAAAACTATTGAACCTTGATAATGCCTTCGGGTTCGGATTCTGGGGAAAATTTCGCATTTGGAATGATAGTCAATTACCTCAGGCCAGAATATTTTTTAAAACTTTTGTAAACTTGTATTCTTACTAACTATGCATACGAAATAAAACTGTATACATACATACACATGTACATAAGCATTATGGGGTTAACATCATTTTCACTTACCTGGTTTAATGAAACAGAGTAGTGCAAGTACATCCATGTAGGCCACAGACACTAATATTACGTTTGGGCACATAAACAAACACAGGCCTATTTTAGACCTTAACGTTATTTTTCGTTTTGTCATGAAAACGTCGATGTCTGCTGAGAAAGATGTTTTATTTTCGCGACTTAAATTTACGTAATAATGCCGAAGCGTAGGCCATAGTATCGTCCTTACGGGTTACATACCCTATACACTAGAGTTTGATTTTTTAGTTCACTTTAAAGATTAGTTCACGTTTAGTTCGTTCACCCCAATGAACTAGCTCTACTCAGTCTTACTTCGCTCACCTTATTGAAGTATCCCTATAAACACAAAAAAATATTTCTCCAACCTTGGAGAAATTCATAGTTCTCAAGTTGATATCCAACATCATTCTCTAACTCATCTCTAACCGACGCGCAGGTACGTAAAAAGTGATAGAGAAACAAATTTTTAATTATCAAGTGAAAAACGTATAGCCAATTGCCAATTTGTTTTACAAAAATTATTTAAAAAGTAGACCTCTCGGTTGCTCAGCAAACCGGTTAATCGTTTCTGCAATTATTCCACAATGATTCTCTAAAACAAATTTTCGATGTATTCTTAAACTGCATAAACCTAAAGGTAAATTTTATAGGAAATTAAACTAACAATTTATTAAAACTAGTAGTAACCTCGAAATACTTCGTGAAAGACAACAATTAATCTTGTATTGCTAGGCACCTGATAACCCAGGATAATTTTTAAGTTCTTAAAGGACATTACTCTACTCTAAGCTTCGTGCAGTGGGCCATGAGAAAACCGTCATCTTTAAGGTATAGTCGAACCTTTCACAATATCTTGTATTAGTCTTAATATGAAACGCAATGATCATTGAAAATTGGCACCCTTTATGGTGAAAAGCATTTAATATCACACTTTCAAACTAAAGCTTTCTTAACCCTAGAAGCCTAATCTATTTGGGAGTAACGTAAAGCCTTAACATACGCCGTAGTGTCTTATGTACTTAAAAGATAACCTGTGAGCTAAAATATACTTAGTCCTGCCTTGTTTTTTAAAGAATATTGAAGTTGTGAGTTTGACTAATAATAAAACATAGTTTAATAATATTAAAAGATAACCTGTGAGCTAAAATATACTTAGTCCTGCCTTGTTTTTTAAAGAATATTGAAGTTGTGAGTTTGACTAATAATAAAACATAGTTTAATAATATTAAAAGATAACCTGTGAGCTAAAATATACTTAGTCCTGCCTTGTTTTTTAAAGAATATTGAAGTTGTGAGTTTGACTAATAATAAAACATAGTTTAATAATATTAAAAGATAACCTGTGAGCTAAAATATACTTAGTCCTGCCTTGTTTTTTAAAGAATATTGAAGTTGTGAGTTTGACTAATAATAAAACATAGTTTAATAATATAAAAAGATAACCTGTGAGCTAAAATATACTTAGTCCTGCCTTGTTTTTTAAAGAATATTGAAGTTGTGAGTTTGACTAATAATAAAACATAGTTTAATAATATAATAATAATAAAACTATAACCACATTTATTTCAAGCAACAAAATAAAAAGTAAATTTTGTGTCAAAATTAAAAAAGGCCCACTTTTAGGGTTAAACCTTTCAGTACAAAAATTCAACCACTCCCAATAAACATTGGGCTTGGTTAGCAATTCGAAAATGATTGGAAAACCAATCTTTTTTTCGAGTCTTACCTTCGATAACGAATGTGCAATAGGTTAGTATTCGATTCGAGATCTAACCCATTCTCCAGCAAAACGGCACCTTCGTTATCCAATGTATTTTCCCTTCGTTATGAATTCCAGATCCATTATCGAATTGAAATTTTATTGTGAGAGAGCGATTGGCTTATATTTTCCTTCGAGAATGAGCTGGATTTCACTTTCTCTTTTGTTACTATGGTTTTAATTTTTTTCGAACCCATTTCGAGTGAATTTCAAATTTACTCTGAATGTTTGGAAAACCGATGTTGGTTATGAGTTCGTTCTCAGTTCGATATGCACATTGGATATCGAAGGTACTTTTCGAACGTTCGCCAAAATGTTTATAGGGCTGGTTCTAAAGAATTTTAAATGTGTAGATATACCGGCTAATTTTGGATCGTTCATTTTAAAATTCACATACAAAAATATGTAAAGCTTTGAGGTTTGCGGTCATTCAGGGTCCTTTTTAATGGTCAGTGATATCCTAGGTGTTTAAAAAAGAAAGGGATCTCAGCCAGAGCTCAGCTAGATCCATGGCTAGAGAATATATTGCACATGATTTAAAAGAACATTTTGAAAAAAGATTTGCCGATTTGAAATTATTTAAATGTACGCTGGCATACTTCATAAACGCTTTTTATACCTTTCATGAGCATGAAATGGTATTATAACTTTGGTCCGATGTTTGTAAGTAACGGGTGATTTTTTTGAGGTTAGGATTTTCATGCATTAGTATTTGACAGATCACGTGGGATTTCAGACATGGTGTCAAAGAGAAAGATGCTCAGTATGCTTTGA